AGGAAGGAAGGGAAAGAAAAGGGAATAACTTACACTTCATGATTCAGAATTAGTTACAAAGGCCTAGATCTGTATGTTTGCCATACTTTCTCCCAAACAGAAAAGTAAGATGAGCTATCAGACGACTACCTGAAAATCCAGGTGGTTTTTCGGTTCGTTTTGAGGCAAGGTCTTGATCTGTCATCCAGGCTGAAGTGCAGAGGTGCGATCTCAAGTCACTGCAGCTGGGCTCAAGCCATCCTCCCCCCTTAGCTTCAGAAGCAGTTGGGACTACAGGTGCATACCATGCTCTCGAATGTTTGTGTTTTTTGTAGAGATGTGGTCTCACTCTATCGCTCACGCTGGTCTTGTACTCCTGGGCTCAAGCAATCCTCCCACTTTGGCCTCCCAAAGTGCTGGGCTTAGAGCCGTGAGCCACCATGCCAGGCCATAATCTAGATTTTTATCCCATCTCAAAGTACATCAAGAGATGTGTCCTTAAACTAGGATTTATTTTTCTTAATAACGATGTGCATCTTCTCATTTGGAAGAGTTAATTGTTTAAATTAAAGGAATATTATAATGATCAAGCAATGCTGTCCTGTAGACTGCACAAGACAATGTTCTTTTTTCTTGCCACAGATCTGACTGTGTGCTGTAGGTTGCCATGGTGAAAATGAAGGCATTTCTTATCAAGTACACGAGGTCTCAGCAAGCCATAAAGAAGGCGACAAATGGCACCTGTGCTCTTCCCATCTGTGGGACTAAATCAAACCAGAATGCAGGTAATAGCAAGGAGACTTACACAGACAAGAACGGGGGCGGGAGGGGTGTGCAAGTTATTTTTTTATGACATAAATGAGAAATCCAAATGTCCATAAGTAGGGTATGAATTCCTGTTTTGTTGTTGTTGTTGTTGTTGTTTGTTTATTTGTTTGTTTGAGACAAAGTCTCACTCTGTCGCCCAGGCTGGAGTGCAGTGGAGTGCTCTCGGCTCACTGTAACCTCCACTTTCCAGGTTCAAGCAATTCTCCTGCCTCGGTCTCCCAAGTAGCTGGGATTACAGGTATGTACCACCATACCCAGCTAACTTTTTTGTATTTTTAGTAGAGACGGGGTTTCCCCATGTTGTTCAGGCTGGTCTCAAACTCCTGACCTCAGGTGATCCGCCTGCCTCATTCTCCCAAAGTGCTGAGATTACAGGAGTGAGCCTGAATTCAGGCCAGCCTGAATTCCCGTTAAATGAATTGTGACATATCCCTACTACGGAACACTGTGCAGGCACTAAAAAGAGTGGCTGATTTCGAATATACGCATTTCAAGTAACAAAAGAAAAATGCCTGAGGGGAATCATATATTTTTATATTAAAAAGGATATATATTCCTTTTTTTTCTTTTGAAACAGAGTCTCACTCTGTTGCCTAGGCTGGAGTGCAGTGGCATAATCTTAGCTCACTGCCACCTCCACCTCCCGGGTTCAAGCAATTCTTCTGCCTCAGCCTACCACATAGCTGGGACTATAGGCACCTGCCACCATGTTGGACTAATTTTTTTTTTTTGTATTTTTAGTAGAGACGAGCTTTCACCATGTTGGCCAGGCTGGTTTTGAATTCCTGACCTTGTGATCCACCCACCTCAGCCTCCCAAAGTGCTGGGATAACAGGTGTGAGCCACCACACCCAGCCACATTTTTTTTTAATGTAAAAGCATGTATGTGTCTGTGTGTTTATGTCTCTGTATACGTAGACATGTATGTATAATTTGCTTCCATGTTGATAACACCACTAAAAAGAGAAACAAAATCTAGTAAATTGGTTGTCTCCTGAAAGGACAACTAAATGGCTTTGGAACAGGGTGGAAGGGGAGACTTTTATCTGACCATAAATTCATTTGTACCTTCTGAGCCTTTTTGCCTTGTTAAGAGTGGAAAGAAGCAGTGGGAAGATTGGTGAGCTTGAGAAACAGTAAGTTCACGTGGACAACCAGGGCGCCCCTTTGCGCAGTCCCCGCCCCATGTGATGAGACTTCGTAGAAACCCTGGGACAAGCACACAAGGCCAACGAGGACAGGACAGGTCAACGTGTCTATCATTAAGACGAGAGTCTGGAACTCAAGGCTAGAAGAAAGTCAGCTCAGTTGCTCATGGAGACTGCATGTGGCTCTTTGGTGATCAAGCCAAAGCAAACTGTTTCCCTAAAGTGCACGTAAGAAAGACGGAGGAGGTAATTTGGCTTTACCTGGAGAGGAATCACTCTGGGAATCAGGTGGTCAAAATACTTCTCAACTGCTTCAATGAAGCCCTTGTTGGTTGTCCTCAGCAGCAACCGGGGGTCTTGCAGGAGCCAGCTGGGGGCGAGAGGGGCAGGCTCAGGGTCTGAGACGGAAAGGCAGGGGAAGGAGGAGTGGGCTCAGAGCTGCCCCAACTCGCTACACATCTGCCCAGCTGCCTCACTCCTCTGGTCCCATAGCACTCAGGGGTCCTGGAAGGATCTGTGCCACATGACACTTTCAGGCCATTCTCGTAGACTTGTGGGATTTGGAAGGAAACACCTGCCTCCATCTCCAAGGCGCTTGACAACTTTGGAAGTGCCGTCAGCTCCCTTTGGTCTGACTGAGGGGCTGGCCCGTCAAGGCTCTTACGGCCATGTGTTAAAGAGCTTTTTCTTCTAGCATTTGTTCAACACTCTCCATTATTTTTCAGCTTATGAAAAACAGTTTTCTTGGGGACAACCTCTGTTCCTTAGGCACGGTGTGGCATTTCCACTAAGAGCTAAGTCTTCGGTTCAGGGTGGGGGCCTGTGCGACAGTGACACCCCACCCTCTCCAGGTCACCGGGAAAGTGTCAGGCAGGCCTCCAGCCAAGCCATGCCAGGAGTCACTGTTTCCCAAAAACTCTGCTTCCCTCAGCTTGGGCTTTCTCTGCCCCTGAGCTGGATGGGAGGAGGGACTCATCTGGAGAAAAGCAAAGGCCTCATTTGACTCTGAGGTGCAAGAGGTGCTCTCTGGAGGCAGAGCCTCAGGTTCTCCAGGGAGCCCTGCCTGCCACAGGGGTGGCAGAGAGGAGTCTTAAGAGTGTCACCCTGACCGTCAGCAGTCTGGGCTGGGGGCCAGCATCACAGAGGAGAGAACAAGGCAAAGAAAAGTAAGAGGGAGTGGGGAGGGGAGCTGAGGGTGGTCTCACCGTGTGGAGAAGGCAGCCCTCCCTTGCAAAATAAGCAAAAGATCAGAAGTTTTCAAAACAAGTCCAGAGTTGTCAGAACCTTCCCTTGCAGGCCATAAAGCTTCTGATCCCTTTCTTCCCAGGGCATTTTGGGAAGGACAGAGGGGGCCACAGCCCCTCCTGCGTGGGGAATGAAGAGTGGGAGCCTCCTGTGGCCACCTCTTCCCACACACACCGTCTTGGCTGCATGCCCAAGGCCCCAGGACCAATGCCTGGAGCTTCTCATCTGTGACTGGGGGATGACAGCAGCACTCGCCCCCCGCCGCAGCACCACGGGCCTCGCAGGAGACGACGCAGGCACGGTGCCTGGTGTAGGGCAGCACACCGCCTATCTGCTCCATGAATAAAGGTTATTTTCCTTGTTACTAGATTAAAATTCCCTTTTTGTAAAGCAAGTACTTCACTACAACCACGATTTTGAGATTATAGCCCCGCTTACCTGGGCAAGCCGCCGAGGTCAATCTCACTGCAGATGTAGGGGCCTGGACGCAGAATCACCCACAGCCCGATCTCCGAGGCCATCAGGACAAAGGCCCTAGAGGGGTCCACATTGTCAGCCCTTCCCACTACAGCCAAGGGTGAGGCTGGTGGGGGCTGCATGCACCACAGAGTGGAGGAGCTGCCCAGTGGGGTGAAGGGACAGCTCAGCCCCACCCCCAAAGAGCAGGGACTCCCACACCAGGTCGGAGGCCTGAGCTGCCCCCAGGCTCAGAGCCTCTGCAGAGCTCCATCAGGGGCCTGAGGAGGAAGGGCATCAGCCAGGGCACAGGGGCCTTAACAGTGAATATGACTCCAATAGAGCCTTGCCAGCCTAGAGGGGCCTCCCTGTCCCAGCCCAGGCTGCTGAACCCCATGCAGAGTCGGGCGGCTTCTGGGGTCTTCTGCCCGTCTGGGTTGCAGTGGAGAGGTGAGGCCTGGATGCTGCAGGCCCAGCCCTGCTGGGTGACAGGTCATGGATAGGGAGTGTCTGGGTCCTGGGTGCAGGGCCTCTCATAGTCCTAGAACAGGACCCCAGACCCAGGTCCCTCCCGGGTTCTCTTTGCTAATCCACCCCCAGTAACTGCATCTCTGCCCCTGCCCCTGGCCAGGTCACAGCAGCAGCAACACCACATACTCCAGGTCCAGGTTCCCAGAGAAGTCGAATCTGCCTCTTTCTGGCTCATGCAGGTTCCACGGAACATAGCTAGAAGAGATGAAAGAGAAATATGATAAGTGTCTTCTTACTTCTTCCTCCAAATTGTTGGGTCCACCCCAAATCCAAGCCAAAACCATGCACAGCTCTATTCTGAAATTCATTGAAGTTTCCAATGGAAATTAAACCTCTATTACACCAACCACGACTATCTTTAATAGTTCCTTGCCCTATTAGCCAATTGTGGTTCAAGCTGCCAATGATCCTCTAATGCTAGATTTTTTTGGGGATTTATATATAAATTATTCTACTCACTGCCCTATTCTTTGGGCAGTAACACCGATTAAAGGTATAAATTAAAAAGAGAGAACAAAAACAAAAAGGTCTACATCTGCCTTATACATTATTACTATGAGTTAGTCAAAATAAGAATAAATGTGGAGTTTCTGTGAAGATAGTGGAGATATAGTAAATCTAGTAAGCGTACTACTATCTTTAGACCTTAGCAAGAAGGGCCCCTGTAGGACCCTCCCCCAAAGGCCTGTGAGTACAAATTTTATCAGATATACTAGACATAGTTCACTAGGCAACTGTTGTTTTTTGTGTCACTGGCAACATTTTTTAGTGGTATGCCCCAATATCGTTTCCTATAAGTCCAATCGTTTTTATTACACAATTTTGCACAGCGCAGAGATTTTCGACAATACATTGTAGAACTGACTGTAAGACCCACGAAGAAGATATACTCATCATGGCCTTCTATGAACTTAACAACAACATAGCTTATTGTAAGCAAAGGAGAAGCTGACTGAATTAGAGAGAATATGGCTACATTAGTTATCAACACAGTGAAAAAATTTAAAGTACCCCTCTAAGAAATAAAGATAATAAGCAGCCAAAAACACCTGTAAGGCTGTACATTTGAACAGCGTAATTAAAAGGCTTCACCTAATAAATAGAGAGAGAACCCAGTAGCCAAGAGATGGAGCATTTACATTCCCTTAAAAAGCGCATCTGTAGAACTAAGTATGAAAAAAGAATGTAAAATTTAAAAGACCAAACAAAATTTAAAATGCATGAAACAGTTGTAAAATATTGGCAGGTACTATGTCACAAAGCAAATCTCAACAAATTCCAAAAACCTATATCACATAGTCCAGGATCCCAAGACAAAGGCAAATAAATTTTAAAATTACAGTTTAAAATAGTAAAAATTGAAATTTCCGGCAAGATGGCTGAATAGGAACAGCTCCTGTGTGCAGCTCCCAGCAAGAGCAACGCAGAAGACGGGTGATCTCCACACTTCCAACTGAGGTACCCGGTTCATCTCATTGGAACTGGTTAGACAGTGGGTACAGCCCAAGGAGGGTGAGCTGAAGCAAGGTGGGCATCACCTCACCTGGGAAGCACAAGCGGCCAAGGAACTCCCTCTCCTAGCCACGGGGCACCATTAGGGACTTTTCCTGGCACTCTGGCGCTCTGGCTCAGATACTGCACTTTCCCCATGGTCTTCACAACCCACAAACCAGGATATTCCCTCCAGTGCCTAGAACACCAGGGCCCCAGGTTTCCAGCACAAAACTGGGCGGCCGGTTGGGAAGACACTGAGCTAGCTGCAGCAGTTTTTTTTTTTTTTTTTTTCCATAACCCTGTGGCACCTGGAATGCCAGTGAGGCAAAACGGTTCTTTCCCCTGAAAAGGGGGCTGAAGCCAGAGAGCCAAGTGATCTGGCTTGGTGGGTCCCACCCAAACAAAGACCAGCAAGCTAAGACCCACTGGCTTGAAATTCTCACAGCCAGTATACCAGTCTGAGCTTGACCTGGGACATGAGAGCTTGGTGCAGGGAGGGCATCCACCATTGCCGAGGCTCAGGTAGGTGGTTTTAACCTTGCCTATGTAAACGAAGTCACGGGGAAGTTTACACAGTGACTGGGCAGAGCCCACGACAGCTCAGCAAGGCCACTGCAGGCAGACTGTGTCCCTAGACTCCCTCCTTGCTCGGCAGGGCATCTCTGAAAAAAGGCAGCAGCCTGTCAGGGTCTTATAAATAAAGCCCTGATCTTCCTGGGACAGAGCATCTGGGAAAAGGGGCAGTTACGGTTACAGCTTCAGCAGACTTAAATATCCCTGCCCAGCAGCTCTGAAGGGAGCAATGGATCTCGAAGCACAGCTCTCAAGCTCTGATAAGGGATAGATTGTCCCCTCAAGTGGCTAGCTGACCCCTGGGTATCTTGACTGGGAGGCACCTCCCAGCAGGGATTGACAGACACCTCATACAGGAGAGCTCTGGCTGGCATCTGATGGGTACCCTTCTACGACGAAGCTACCAGAGGAAAGAAGAGGCAGCAATCTTTGCTGTTCTGCAGCCCCCGCTGGTGATTCCCAGGCAAGCAGGGTCCGGAGCGGACCTCCACCAAATGCCAGCAGACCTGCAGCAGAGGGGCCTGTAAGAAGGAAAACTAACAAACAGAAAGAAATAATTTCAACATCAACAGAAAGGACATCCACTCAGAGACCCCATCCAAAGGTCACCAACTTTAAAAACCAAAGGTTGATAAATCCACCAAGATGGGAAGAAACCAGTGCAAAAAGGATGCCAACTCAAAAAACCAGAACGCCTCTCCTCCTCCAAGGGATCACAACTCCTCACCAGCAAGGGAAAACTGGATGGAGAATGAGTTCGACAAATTCACAGAAGCAGGCTTTAAAATGTGTGTAATAACAAACTTCTCTGAGCTAACGGAACATGTTCTAACCCAAAGCAAGGAAGCTAAGAACCTTGAAAAAAGGTTAGATGAAATGCTAACTAGAATAACCAGCATAGAGAAGAACATAAATGACTTGATGGAGCTGAAAAACACAGCACAAGAATTTCATGAACCATATACAAGTTTAAATAGCCAAACTGATCAAGAAGAAAAAAGGATATCAGAGATTGAAGATCAACTCAATGAAATAGAACAAGAAGGCAAGATTGGAGAAAAAAGAGCAAAAATAAATAAACAAAGCCTCCAAGAAATATGAGATTATGTGAAAAGACCTAATCTACATTTGATCAGTGTACCTGAAAGTGATGGGGAGAATGAAACTGAGTTGGAAAACACTCTTCAGGATATTATCCAACAGAACTTCCCCAACCTAGCAGGGCAAGCCAACATGCAAATCCAGGAAATACAGAGAACACCACAAGATATTCCTCAGGAAGAGCAACCCCAAGACACGTAATTATCAGATTCACCAGAGTTGAAATGAAGAAAAAAAATGCTAAAAAAAAAAAAAAAAANAAAAAAAAAAAAAGGCATCCAGAGAGAAAGGTGGGGTTACCCACAAAGGGAAGCCCATCAGACTCACAGTGGATCTCTCTGGAGAAACCCTACAGCCAGAAGAGTGGGGGCCAATAGTCAACATCCTTAAAGAAAAGAATTTTCAACCCAGAATTTCATATCCAGCCAAACTAAGCTTCATAAACAAAGGAGAAATAAAATCCTTTATGGACAAGCAAATGCTGAGAGATTTTTGTCACCACCAGGCCTGCCTTACAGAAGCTCCTGAAGGAAGCACTAAACATGGAAAGGAACAACCAGTACCAGCCACTGCAAAAACATACCAAATTGTAAAGGTCATCGACACAATGAAGAAATGCATCAACTAATGGGCAAAACGACCAGCTGGCATCAAAATGGCAGGATCAAATTCACACATAACAATATTAATCTTAAATGTAAATGGGCTAAATGCCCCAATCAAAAGACACAGACTGGCAAGTAGGAAAAAGAGTCAAGACCCATCAGTGTGCTGTATTCAGGTAATCCATCTCATGTGCAAAGACACACATAGGCTCAAAATAAAGGGATGGAGGAATATTTATCAAGCAAATGGAAAGGAAAAAAAAAGCAGGGGTCGCAATTCTAGTCTCTGATAAAACAGACTTTAAACCAACAAAGATCAAAAGAGACAAAGAAGGGCATTACATAATGGTAAAGGGAATAATTCAACAAGAAGAGCTAACTATCCTAAATATATATATGCACCCAATACATGAGCATTTAGATACATAAAGAAAGTTCTTAATGACCTACAAAGAGACTTAGACTCCTACACAATAATTTTGGGAGACTTTAACATCCCACTATCAATACTAGACAGATCAGCAAGACAGAAAACTAACAAGGATATCCAGGACTTGAATTCAGATCTGGACCAAGCGGACCTAATAGACATCTACAGAACTCTCCACATCAAATCCACAGAATATACATTCTTCTCAGCACCACATCACACTTATTCTAAAATTGACCAATAATTGGAAGTAAAACACTCCTTAGCAATGCAAAAGAACAGAAATCATAACAGTCTCTCAGACCACAGTACAATCAAATTAGAGCTCAGGATTAAGAAACTCACATCAAAATCACACAACTACATGGAAACTGAACAACCTGCTCCTGAATGACTACTGGATAAATAATGAAATGAAGGCAAAATAAAGATGTTCTTTGAAACCAATGAGAATGAAGACACAACGTACCAGAAGTGTATAAACACCTCTATACAAATAAACCAGTAAATCTGGAAGAAATAGATAAATTTCTGGATACTTACACCCTCCCAAGACTAAACCCGGAAGAAGTTGAATCCCTGAATAGACCAATAACAAGGTCTGAAATTGAGGCAGCAATTAATAGCCTATCTACAAAAAAAGTCCGGGACCAGACTGGTTCACAGCCAAATTCTACCAGAGGTACAAAGAGGAGCTGGTACCATTCCTTCTGAAACTATTCCAAACAATACAAAAAGAGGGAATCCTCCCTAACTCATTTTATGAGACCAACGTCATCCTGATACCAAAACCTGGCAGAGACACAACTAAAAAAGAAAATTTCATGCCAATATCCATGATGAACATTGATGCAAAAATCCTTAATAAAATACTGGCAAACCAAATCAACACCACATCAAAAAGCTTATCCATCATCATCAAGTTGGCTTCATCCCTCGGATGCAAGCCTGGTTCAACATATGCAAATCTATAAATGTAATCCATCACATAA